CCCCGCGCCGGGAGCGGGGCTCGGGGAGAAGGGCCGCGGCCCCCGGCTGGTTTGCAGGGGAAGCCGCCAGCGCGGGGCGCCCCTCGCTCGGGAAGAGGAGCCCCATAGGCGCCCGCTCGCGTGTGCTCGGGGCCCTGCGGAGGCCGGCCCCAGCCTGGCACAGAGCTCAGCAGGGAGGACACAGAGGGCAGCACGACAGGCATGGGAAAGAGCAGGGGTAACAGGTTGGACAGCGTGAGAAACAGGAGAGGATGCAGATAGTGCCCAGAGCCCACAGGTGGCTCACAGGGAGGCCTGTGAGAAAGGGCCAAGTCCCCAGATAACCGGAGCAGGCAGGAGCACAGGGACCTTGGGGGAAGCACAGCTTTCCAAGGCCACCAAAGCTTCCCTATCAGTTGTACTGTCTAGGGCAGAGATTCCCTAGGTACAGGACAAGTACCACCAGGTTTAAGTCTAGTTGCAGCAAAACAGGAAGAGAAGGGAGCAGGTGCAAGGGCAGTGCAAAGGCAGGCCAAGAAGCAGGAAAGGAGACAGCCAGGTGTGCAGAGGTGTAGGGCAAGCAGCCCTGCAGTGATCAGACAGCAACCAGGCTCTGGTTTCCGAGTGTGCCCGTAAGGTGAAGGCTGGCCAGGCTCTTTCTCCTGAAGGAAGCTCCTTTGCAGCAGTTATTTCTGCAGGAGGAGCTGTGTAAGCCTTGCTCTTGAGAACCACTATTGCTGGGAGCAAGGGAGAAGAGCCCAGCTTTCCCCTGCGCCGCGGTGCCTTATCTTGAGCAGCTGGTGTGCGAGCCCGAGTCAGTAGGTGGTGCCGCTGGCTGCAGGGGAAGCATGAGGAGAGCTGCACCAGGGAGAAAATGGCTGCTCCTTTTCCAGGCTGAACCTTCTCCCTACAGCCCTCGTAGAGCACGTGCTGCTCACACCGATGAGTATTTCTGCCTCAGCATAGGGAAGGATTGCCATTACTTCCTTAACTCTGAGGCCAACTTGCTTTCCTGCTTGTGCAGTTTGAACAATAGGAGGTTATTAACATAAATATGATAATGAAGTACATAGAGATGGCAGAATCATAAACAGGGTTATGGGAAACTCAAGAAGCATTTAACACATTAGTGTTCTGGTTTTGGAAGGAAGTGGGAGGATTATTTTCTTATGTGATACTGATACTAAATCAAATGTAGATGTAACAAAGGAGAATATACGGTTTGTTAAAGTTGTTCCACAAAAGGTCTTTAAAACTTATTTCTGGAATATTAAGTGAATGATCAGAACCACTAGTAAGAGTCTGCTCTTGGAAATCAAAGAAACCCAACGAATTAGAGGACTGCCAATATGATGCCAGTATTTTTTAAAAGCAGTGGAATCTTACATAATGCTCTTAGATCTGCCAGCCTTGTATGAACTGTGGACAAAATAAGGTGTTAAGGTAAGGAATCCCATCACCCAAGAATTAGAAGCAAAATACAACTTATTATCAGGCGGAATATCTTCACAGAAAGCAGATCATCTTTTTCAGAGCGACTTTTTCTCTCCTTAAAAAAAAAAATGCACGTCTGGTTAACAAAAGCAACTCTGCTACAACAACATATTTAGAATTCTCTGTTTCTAAGGCAGTGACTGTGGGTGGCACTAACAGGCACATGATGGATGTGATTGAAGATTAACTGACTGGATCCCATGCCAGTGGTTCACCCATGTTTCCTAATAGGGTCAGGACTAATAGCATTCTGTCCCTTCAGGGTCAAGTGTTGGCCTAGTATCCACATCACTAGCAACATCCTTTGATATGACACAGGCTAATGAGAAAGCCAAAAAGAAGAGGGTACTTCTGAATTGCATTGATTACCAATCATCATCCACTAACACTGAAATAAATGGTATTATATGAACAATGAAAGTTGCGCACAAAATAGATGCACTTACAACTGCTTTGGAGAAGAAAAACCATGTAATATGTCAATACCTCCTCAGAGTGCAACGCCTGTGGTGAAACCAGATCAGTCACTACATGTTTCAAAGGTTAGTATTTGGCAGGAACAGGAAAGCAAGTTGATCTTTTCATGCCAGCAGTGGCAAGACCAGTAACATTCCAGTAGGAATTTGAAGTTCTAGAAAGGGGCGAGGAGGTTTCATAAGGTAGGTTTAAAGAGCTTAGCCTTGCTCTTTGAAAAGCAGGCTGAGCAAAGTACTGTGTGCAAATCTTATTGATGGAGAAGAGCCACCAATGCACTCAGCAATGATGGGGATCAGGAGCTAGACGTTCAGCCTTGAAGCAACTGGGGTAGAGCATAGCAGCAGACAGAGCAGACACAGGAAACAAGACACAAGGCCAGACTACACCACAACAGTTCCTTCTGACCTCAGTACCTAGGTGCATTTCGCCATTTATAATCAAATATTGTCCAACTTGCAGCTGCATAAATCTCTTAATCTGACAAATGCAGTCATATAATTATAGAACTGCAAATGCAATGAGAGAGGGTCTAAATAAATATCTATTAGTCTTGCTTTTTAGGCCTTAAAAGCATCTTGTAGAGGTGAGAGGAAGGAACTAATGCATTTCTCTTTCAGTTTATAATGTGTTTCAGTTTTTAATTGATAATGCTGCAGTTACTTCTTTAAATTGGGAAAAATACCATTTTTTCATTGCAATATATGTAAGGCAATAATAGAGCTATTAAATGGATATATTGTTTGACCATCACGTAGCATAAGCAAAAAAAAAAAAGTGGTTGAACTGGGCCAAACTGGCATTTTTTGCAATTCTACCTTCCCCCAATATTTTTATTATAATAAAGGTATAAAATGCAACTATTTCTTGACATCGAAGGCAACAGTTAATGGAGCAGGTATGTTAAGATACTTTGCATTGTAATATTTTCAATTTATCTTTGTGTAAAGCAAGTCAGTCTGTTAGCGGGACTGTTCTGTATCAAAAGTGAGGGTATTTGACCTCATTTGTCACATCATCCAAGTTATGTCTAGACATACAGTAGAGGAATTGACCATTGGCAGCTTCCTAAAATTCAGTCCCCGTTACTGCAAGCTAATACAGGAAGACAGCCTGTACTTCAGCCTGCAAGCAATCCTTTACAGCCATTGAAAACCACCTGTCATAAGGCCTTCCAAGCCAACTGCTGGGAATCAGGACTAACAATGTTCTACCACCAGGGATTCTCCGCTAGGTGCCTCTGTCCTTTGCAGCTATTTTGCACTGAATAGGATACCACAAGAGCACAAAATGACATATTAAGCTATGAAAGCTTGTCTTGCAAAGCACATGTTTGTTACTTTACTGATGGGATCAGCAGTACTTGCTAACACCTTTGTAGCAGACTTTTTTTTTTTCCCCATTTCATTTCTGTTCCTTTCCTTACTTATCTGTGTGTCCTGCTTCCCAGCATCTCTCTTTTCCTCCAGGTAGCAATTTGGGTACCTTTAACACTCAGAAACCTTCATTCTTGTACCTTTACTTGATCAGGGAAAAGTACCTGTATCAAACAGCTAGGGAAAATTAATTAAAACACCTATTAAGAATTAGCTCTCCGGAACAATCAACTGAGGGGAATTCTTCCCTCAAAACTGTGAAGCATTCTGCAGACAAGACAAACACTAGATAAAATTCACGCTGTACTGAATACTGAATCCTCTTGGCTACCAACAAAAGCCTCTTGTTTGTTCTTGTTTTAAGTAAGTTTCCACGGAACTTTTTTTTTTTTTTTTTTAAATCAGACTATAAAAACACGAATTACAAAAATTGAAAGGAGTTAGGTTCCAACTACCTTGATGAAAATAAACCTCATCTTGGTATTTGCCAGGAAATCCATGGAATGGAAGTCAACTGTCATGCATAGGTTGATAGAAAACCCTCCTTTCCCTTTCTTTAATGATCCTAGAAAAAAGACACGTGTAAATCCACAGTTCTGTATTTATCGGCTGTAGTCTGAAATCTGTGCAGTAAAAGCAAGAAAGGCTCTATCAATACATATGATAAAAGATGAATTCTCTTAAGTCACAGAAGTTTTGGAAACAGGATTTCCCTCAAGTGTTTAAAATCTATACGTAGGATTATGCAGCATCTAAACAGAAGTATGTTATACCTATTAATACAATCTGTCCTTCTGTTAAACTAATTGTCTTTAGCATTCTTGAACATGTCATAATAAGCTGCAGGTATTCATTGATGGATTGCCAAGAACATCAGCATTTTAGTCAGCATTTCTATATGCACTGTTAAGACTGCACTTCCCTAATGCTACACAGCAAACATTCCAGGAAGACGATTCTGTGTTTCACTTTTGGGGCCCCCCCCCCCCCTTTTTTTTTTCCTTCAGTAAGTGATGGAATCCTCTCCATCACTTGCTTTCATTTTTGATAAATCAAACAAAATGACCCACCCAGCTTATTTGGAGGACAAAAAAGGGAATGGCTTACCTTTTCTTACAGTTGTTTTCCTATACCAACTTAAGCCAGCTTTTACTCTAACAACAGTGTAACTAAAAGAAAAAAGTTTTTAAAATGATTTAATATGCAAAAATTTTGCCCTACCTGCTATTGAGAAAACAAACTACTCAAATTATCTTCACACGAGGTTTTAAATAGAAATGTCTCAGTGAAGTAGCTGATAACTGGCAAGTTATCCCTGCTTGAAAGCTATGCACTTTTAAACCACAGAACAAATTAATGGCAATTACTCCAACTCAAGTGATATTTTAAGATTGCTTCCCTAGATTTATATAGCAGGTGAAGAGATGTCTGTTCCTTTCTTGGCATCACTGTTAAACTGAGTTTTGGAACCCCCACCATAAATTTCACTAAAAGGCTTGTTACTATTTGTATTATCAGATAAAGTCTGATAATACCTTCCCTTTCATGCATTCATCCAGAAACTGCTACTTTTCAGACAGTGAAGGCAAAAGTAACATTCAAAAAACATCAGGTATCGCCAGGGGAATTTATGCCTCTGATGAGAGATACAAACCACTTTTAACACCCTTCTAAGCCCCGTGAAATTAAAGCAGTAGTTGCACATCACACAGACTAGCATATTTCCAACATACATGACAGCAAGGAAGAGAACATTCTGCTGTCATGGACAATACTACTACACTTAGTGATTTTCATATAGTATGCCACTTATAGAAGGTTTTCTTTGGTATCACTATGATCTAGAAATTTATTACAACCCTGTGCTTTTAAGTTAACACACACCCAAATATCCTAGAATTAAACAGCTTTCAAACAGGAGTCTCAAAATCTCTAGAGTGAACTGCAAAGCTATAAAAAACCTGCTTATAACTTTGCAGTTAAATTCTTTGTCTATCCTATAACTGCAAAACCACTAGAATAATTTTGTTAGTAGGTAATAAAAAGACTTTCAAGTACAAAAACCACTAGAATAATTTTGTTAGTCAGTAGGTAATAAAAAGACTTTCAAGTACAAGTGCTGAATCTGAACTTAGGTTTACTAATAAGTACAGCAATTTAAAAGTACTTGTTTTCCCTTTAACCAGTACTTAGAGCCTTTTTCATCTCCTCATTTACATATCACTATTACTAAAATTGTAAACAGAAAATACCACCATATAACAAGGGTGAGAAATCTGTATTAACTCATCTTGCTACTGAATAATAAAAAATATAGTTCCTAAGACACAGAATGTGGAAAAAAATGAAGTTAACTCAAAGTGTTTGTCAGCTAGGTGTTCAAAAACACACCCAGACTTGTATATGTTTTAAGAATCTGAGTTAACTCCTTAAAGTTTCAGTTTACTTGATGTATTTACCTACAGGATACTTCTATCACAGCATCTTCTTAACAGCCAAGTTTAACTCTGGGTTTGCTTTTAGGAAGCTTTCCCGATTTTTCCTCCCTTATCTGCAGATAAGGAAACAAATCTGTAGAACAAGCAACATCAGTCTGGCCTGGAATTAGTAAGACAGCAGTCACTGATACAATTAGTAAGATAACACACCTCAGGCATAAGTTATATGATGCAAGATTAAACACAGGGGCAAATTCAATAGAAAATACGCACTATAAATACACTGCGTACAAATAAGCCATGTACACCAATGCAGAACAATCAGGAAATTACATTATTAAAAGTTTTTATTTAGGTTTGGTCAGTACAGGTAAGATAATATTGGAGTCACAGAGCAATATGCATAAACAGGATACAACAGTTCTTAAAAACTGAGTAACTATGCACACAATTCATAAACATTCGGTCACCTAAGGAGAAAATGCACAGATGTATGGTGGGAAAAATTGTAATTAACACTGAAACTACTACAGGACTCCTTCAGCAAGTCCATCTTTTAGTGATAAAACTACTGTACTGGGCAAACTTGGCAGTCATAAACCCACAGCTATTATGACAATTCTTGAAGGTGGTGCAAGTATAACAGTATGAGTAAGAATGCCCTTATCCACAGCACAGGTTCTAGATATACACAGATTTGTACAGACATCATTTATGTTATACTTTGTGGAAATAATTTCCATTTCAACTTCACATTAACTCATATAAAAATAACTTGAGCTACACAAACGTCCTTTTAGCAACATTCAACGTAATTAACTGTTAAAATTTCCAAAGTGGCAGAGGTATTGAAGCAAAAAGAAACCCACAAAAAGGCAAAAGTGTGACAAGTTGCACTAATTTAAACGGCTTCTGGACAGTATCCTCTCCCAATTTAAATGACACTGTATAAAAATGCTGCAGAAAAATGTTACAAAACTGAACCCTGCACATTTACGCTGGAGTCCAAACCATTCTGGACATGACGAGAACCCACAGTTCTGTTACCTTTCACGCTCACTGTTTTCTCCTCTTGAGGATCATGATTGGAGTCTGTGTCATTTGAGTGGTGAGTGAGAGAGTTTTCACTGCCAGTGGGAGAGTCTACACTTTCATACCCAGTACTGAGTTGGTTTATGTAGCTACCACCTCCTCTACCAGTTCTATCTTCTGAGTGGTTGGCCAGCTTATTACCGTTCCCTGGAGAAGCCGGGAAGTCATCTTCCGTGCCGCTACCCTCCCTATAAAATCCAGGCCCAGACGTCCGCTGGTGGGAAGAGCTCCCGTTACTTGGTCCGTTAGCCAGGCGGCTGCAGTCTTTACCTGCAGCCTCCCCCTGCTCGCCAGGCTCCGACGAGGGAGTCCTGCTGGTACCCGGAGCGGAGGCCTGCGACTGCTGCTGGTACTGAGCCAACTGCTGGCGAGTCTCCTTCAGCTGCTGCTGGAGAACTAGAATGGTGCTCTGCATACCCTCTACCTCCTCATCAAGCTGGATGATGAAGTCATTCAATTCTATATAAAGAAAGCACATTTGTTGCAAAGACTTAATAGCCCATATATAGCTGGAGTCGCA